TCTCACATCATGGCATAGCGGCGAATGTCCACAAGGACGAACAACTGGTAAGAAGGCAATCGGAGCACGGGATATTTAAGGAAGTTGAATGGAACCAATACTGTACATGCCTGCCAGCCCTTAGCCCACCATCCATATCGCTCGCTTAGCATCACTTCCCGAATGAGGAAGAAAGAGCAGGGCCCTCGCTGACCAATGATGCCACAAAATCAGAACCATATCACGTGCACCGACGCGTCCTGTTTAAATTCAGACTCCACGAGCCACAGCGAGTTCGACTTACACTTTGACCACACCCCCTTCCACTGAGTTGCGCGCAACAGTCTTCCGCCTCCCCCACTCTTTTCAACCACAAGTCCCCAGCTCTCCCGACATTCGAGCCACTTCATGCCCCCGCCACTATCCAACAAGACCAACAGAGGCTATGTGCCTTTACCCGTTTGTCCCGCCTCCAGCAAATTTCGACCTCCATCGGACAGGCATAAGGAGAACGACGGGAAGGGCTGTCATGCCTCGCGCGTTTCTGAAGACGATTCCGACGCACCCGAGCCATTCTTCGCTCCCCAGGGCGAGAGCATCAAGTATTTCGCGAAAAAGCGTCCTGCCCCGCTCCTGAGGGAGCTGCCGTCCTTCAAGAAGCTAGATTTTCATACCGACCTGTTTTTCCCCCTCTCTCCGGCGAAACACGTGCTGCTGAAGTCCAGGCTTCTTGAATTCAACAGAAAGGTGGCGAGAGTCCTGTTCCGGACCTGGATCGTTAGCGTTCTCGAGAAGAAGGGGATGGGATATAGAGTACGTGCTCGTGCCATACTCCTGCCACCGAGGCTTATACCTTTCCTCTTTCTAGGAGTGGCGTATATACGTCCAGTGCCACAAGGCTTTGACAGCCTGCAGTGACATAAACAAAGTACGTTGTACTCCACCGGACTACATCGAGCTCTACTGACGATCGGAAAGAACAATCTCCCGCCCAAGAGCCTGGAGAAGTTCCGGCTAATGGGTGTCGAGCCCGAGGATTTTAATGACGAAGCCTGGATGCCAGGCGCCTTCGAGGCTCCTACCTTGATCTCGAAACTGACGTTTGCAGAGCGGAAGGAGCGGCTGGTCCGCAAGTTAGTCGCCGCCTTCCTGGTCGGTGTCGAGAAGCGGGCTGAGGAGCGCGAGCGCCTGGGAGAGCAGGCTCGTCTGCAGGACGAGGAGGGAAGTCTCGAAGAGGATGGTGAAACCTCCTCAGCTGCCGAGAAGGCAGGCGATGTCGTAGCTGACGCTGAAAGTGATGCAGCGGAAGGCGAAGACGACGGTGAGGTCCAGAGCACAGACAAAACCGTCGGTAGTGACGATCCCATTGATGCCACCGAGGTCGTCGAACATGCTGCAGAGACGTCCTGCTGCCCCGACGACTCTTCAGAGCTACCTCCGTCTGTCTCCCATGAAGAGGACAGCCATGCCCATGCCCCCGCTGTGACGACGGGAGACTCCCTTCCGTTCTCGCCGCCGCCTGCCCAAAGCCCACCGCTACGCGAGCGCGGCCACTTTTCACCTTTGAAGCCTGTAGACGACGTCCCCGGGCGTGCCTTCGAGGAGTTTGGCGTGCTGACTGCCGCGAACGCGGAGGGTCCGACGGAAGAACCTTCAGCGACGCCGACCGCGACTGTGGAGCGGGCGCCTTCCTCGACGCCCCCTCAACCGACATCGCTCAATCCTCAGGTGAAGGCCGAACCTTCCGAACAGGGGGCTGCCGCTGCCAGCACAGCATACGCAGCATTCCGTGCAGAAAACAACGTATCCAGAGCAGGCACCAGAGCACCTGCAACCGAATGCCGCCCGAGGGCCACCGGCGGATTCCTTCGCCTGCCTCGCCGTGGGGATGGGACGAGCCCCGCGCGACAACTTCGAGCGCGAGGTCTACACCGAAGGCCTCGCGCGCGCGTACGCGCAGATCCTCGCCCGGGAGAACCTCGCATCCGACCTGGAAGAGCGCGGCATCGAGCTCCCGCACATCGAGGACGACGGCGTGCTCAAGCCGCGCATAGGCAACATGTGGGCGCTCGAGCACGACGCCTACCAGGCGGTGTACGCAAACGCGTTCGCGGAAGTCCTCGCGCAGGAGGCGATCGAGGAGGAGAAAGAGGCGGAGGATTCAGACGAGGAGGACGAGCAGCCGGTGGACCGGATGGACCAGGACTGGAATGTCCAGATCCGCCGCCCGAGGTGCGTCGTCGAAGAGGTCGAGTTTGCGGAGGGGTCGGCCATGGACATCTCGTTCCATGCGCCGGTAGACCCTATGGAGTGCGAGGTGTCCGAGGGTCTCGCTGGCATGCCGGTGTCGATTCTCGCGGGGCTAGACCATGTCGACGAGGAGCCGATGGACGTCGACTTGCCCGACGAAGCCGGCGACATCGACATCCACGACGCGTCGATGATGTCGATGGCCCCTTTTGACTTTGCCCAGCCTGTCCATCCCTTACAGGATATACTCGGCGCGTTTGGCAACATCAGCCTCTGGTCAAAAGACGCCATCGAAGTGGATGCGCACCTTGACTGGTAAGTCTCCGCGATGCGAAGATCGTCGAGGTTGTAAGACATGAGATGGATGTGCTTATGTTGCGCGCTCCTGCCCCTGGCTTGTTCTTTGATGTTCTGTGCTTGATCTTCAGGTTATATCCGGTATATAGCTTGTTGGGCATGTTTCTCTCCAGTTCGTATTTCAAGTTTTGTGATGGTCTGACTTCCCAGAGTGTATATATCAGTGTCGGTAGGACGTATCTCAAACACCAATGGAACGTACTTCGTTTGCATTCTCCGAGAAGACCTTGAGAGGACTTGTGTGGGACGTATATGGACAACGGGGTACTCTCGTGTTCAGTGGACGCCCTGACGAGTTCGGAACCCTCATCGGCTCTGTATGAACTCCGGTTAAATTTGCACTGCGTGCGAGCGATGTTAGCCGCGTCATGGGAGGAATCGCTGCTATATGTTTGTTCATCCTCTGCACACCTGTGTTTTATAGAGGGAGACCAGAACCACGTGCTGGGAGCGTGCACCCCGCTTTGCAACGAAAAGCGATCGATGGGCTTCGCGTGGTCCTGGGGTGCATCGTGTGCTCAATCGTGTGATACGAATGTGAAGAATCTGGCCGGCTTGGTTCGAACCGGCCTTTTAGACGATGAATGAGCGTCGTCACTTGCAAGGTATCCTCGCTCCGTCGTGAATATCGCGGCAACGCTGCACACGTCATTTTGAGCAGTTTTGGGAACTGAGGCGACGAACCGCATGGCAACATGAGTCACAACCTTCGAAGGCCGGGGTAGACGAGTGAGGCAAGATCATGATGAGTGCAGCCTCAATGGGACGAACGGTTAGACGTTGCGAGAAAGGGGCACTCGCCATGCACCGTCGGATGTTCTAGCCTATACGTAGTGATGTTAGCGGAAGCTCCTCCAATCCACGGTCCTTCACGGCTTTCTATTTACCCGCACATCCCCTCATTCAGCTCCTCCTGCCCCGTACCAAATCCTGATAGACGCACCTGCACGCACTCCCGATAGCTGACACAAATCTTCCCTCAGCTGCTCGTCCCGAGCAGAATCCAGCAGATCCTGTGCACGGGCAATGTCTGCGACAAGGAGACGTACGAGTGGCTCAAGACGTCGTGCGCGGGGACTACGACGAGGTGCGTGCTGTTCCCCACGCTGGCAGCTGCGTCTGGTAAAATTGATGAAGCAATGTAGAGCGCGGCGCTGCCGCTGTCCATCACGGTGAACCACTCGCCGATCAAGATTGACGTCGTCCATGGGCACCAGTGTATACCGACGGGTGACTTGGACTCGCTGGGTGCGACTGCGAGACAGATGGACGTAGAATGTGTTAATTCCGGGGCATACGCTTACGTGAGTGGTTTCATTGCCCTATCAGCCTAGCGATGTAACCGACCGCGCAACTGCTTTGCGTCTAAATCGCAATAGATTCCAAGCGGTAGAATACGACAACCACTTCTTCGTCAACCCCGGCTCCGCAACAGGTGCATGGACGGGTGCATGTTCCAGATACCTTTCCCTCGCCTTCCTTCCCCTCCCGAACTCAACTCACCCCTTCCCAGTGACCCGTCCCCTCCTTCGCGCTGATGAACATTCAAGGCCCGGTCGTCGTGACGTATGTCTACCAGCTCATCGACGGCGAGGTGCGCGTCGAGACGTTCAAGGAGGCGCCGCGGAGCACGGTGCTCCCGCAGACAGCAGCCCGGCGCCGCAACAGCAGAGCGTGTGGTGAGGTGTATCTTTGCGATATGCACGCCCTCCGTGGATGTGGATGGAGTATGTTATATTGTCTCTCGAATTTTTTTTCTGTCGCTCTGTTATGCTCGCGTGTCTTTTCTGTAACTCGTATACCAATGGAGGAAGTCCCTCTCTATCATACACGGATGTGGAGCGAATGATCGCTTGGCTCTCCAGAGGGTCTTACGCCTATGAAGATGTATCCCTTGGTCCTCCACGGACGTATTGTGTATGAACCGAGAACGTGAATGTGCAAGACTATCCTACCTTGATCCTACCATCACGATGTCTCGGGTTGACGGAGCGAGTACTTTTTCTGGAGCAGGACCACAGCGCGTGAGTTTGTGGCATAGTTGTTTCCGTCCTCAGGAAAGCGATAAGGTACCTCCGTCTCCCGTACATGGTTTAATGTTTGAACAGCTGTACAGTGATCGGCGGGGGAACCGACCCACGTTCCCAAGTATACGCCCGGGAGCACGATGATCTGTCGTCCGCAACTCCTCTTACTGCACGTCTATGTTCTACTAAGGAAATCTCATCAACGACCATGCCATGTAGTTCGTCGTCAGAGCAAGCATCATACATGTATTGCAACCTTCCTCATGAACAGCTCATACGGGGTGTACATAGCATTGTACTGACTGTACTTTCCACCACGCACCGCAAACGCCCGAGTGACCTCAGTCGAACTCTCGATCAACTTTCACTTGAGGCTCGCGAGCGCGCTGAACGCTGCGGGGAGAGGTCTATGCTTCCTGGCCCGCACCCGGGGCAGAGGTCGCGGCGGTTGACTATATGTCCACATGGGGTGAGAATGAGTCCAGGAAACAGGGGGACGGAGATGGGAAGGGGGACGGGAGCAAAGAGAAGGGATGGAGACGCACAGTCGACAATGATGTGCTTGAAACAGTGCCCGCGGCCCGCGTAGTCGGCTGGGGACGACGCAAAGATGGGGTCTGGGAGAGGGAGGCGGCGCTGCGGGAGTGGTGATTGTGATATGTTTAGATGCATGCGTGCCGTGGCCGAGTGAAGGATAATCATATATTCAAAATCTCCTTATAAAGTCGTCGGCGTTGCCCTCCGAGTAACTGCAGATTGGTGGACGTCCTGTTCTAGCGAGTAACTCCATTTGTTCGACCTCGCGCGGGTATCGACTCGCCGTGAGGTTGAGTCAGAGGCATCTGGAAGCATCGGCACGAATTTGGCCTGCCCAATTTCTGACTTAATTAGTACGTGCGTTGACGGGGGGCGAAAGTTGTTGTTGCATTGAATGTTTCTATGCGTAGCATATTGTAGGGGAGTGTGTAGAAAAATTGACGGGAGCTGGAATATAAACCTGGGCGTGGTTAGGGGTTGCTATAGCCCGACGTGTGACATCACAAGCACTTGGGGGAGTGGGCCAATGCTGTGCATGGCTGGTTACGAGTCCTGAGCTGGGCATAAGATATTCCCTATTTTACATTGTATATCATAGAGCTGACACAAATATTCCTATCTTTCTTGAAGTATTATTTGAATTTCATTAGGCCTCTCAAGATCATCTTGTATATTCCTTGATTTGCTATAGAGCTCTGGTTATATTATGGATTTCCCGCATTTTTCACAATTTTTCTGGCCCTTCTACAGCCTGCAATCAATTCCAGATACCAATGATGTAATAGCTCTGCAGATCGGGTGAACCTGCAGAGAGCCTATGTCATAGAGGGCGGGAGCCAATCAGAGTCCAGGAATCCAAACCGACGCGGCCCGCACCTCAGCCACTGACTACAAGCCACTACAATAGTCAATTCCCACGATAAGCAATAAAAGTAAAACCGCCATGCGGACTAGGACAAGACACACAATCGGTAAATTTACGAAAATATTGTTTTAGACCCATATAGCATACTCCCCAGACTAGAGAAAATAAAAGAGAGATAAGACGAAGAATTGAGCCCGCAAATGAGCAAACAATGGTCACAGAGACTACAAAAACGCGCCAAAAGTGGTTTTGTAGTCTCACATACAAACGGACTTTCTAACGGAGTTTCACAAATGTAGTCTGCAATACAAAACATAACTCCCACGATATCTCGGCACAAACGGTTCTCACGGGGTACAACGTTCGGCACGCAGGCATATTTTGCGCGTAAGGACTCGACCTTCGTACCTCAGGACTCGTAATCACGCGTGTCGTGACGTGACAGTGTCACCGTTCGTGGTCGCGTACCATCTTCATCGATTCTGCCACACTGCACAAACACAGAATTCAACAAGAGCCAAACAAGGCCACAAGCGACCAAACTATGCCCATATTTGAGCACGATTCTCTGCGGCTTCGCCACGTACGTCTTTTCACGTTCACCTGCCCCCGAGACTCACGAAATGCCTGCCCGCATTGCCCGCTCTGCTCCTCCTCGCAATGGTAATGCGAATCGCCTGGATTATTCTCGCTCTCGCTCTCACCTCTCTAATAACGACCGTGTTGATCTCTACCACAAATTTTCTTCCGAAAAGCTTAAACAAACTGTGCACCGTCAGGTCGCAGGCGCGGAAGCTGCCAAGTCGGTCCATGGACCAGTGGATATTGATTCCTTTCTGGAAATCGACTGCTTCCCGGGGATGAAGGTTTGCGGTGTGAAGAACGAGAGAGTAGTCAATATTACTGACTTGCTATGCCGCGTCGACCCAATAATTATTGGAGCCAGCAAACGGTCCGAACGACTGATGTATACACCTCTGGTAAGCTGTGATTTCTCAAAGTGGTACTAGTGGACTCACCTGTCTTGGTGTCGAAGGCTGATGCGCTAAATGAAATTGCCAAGAAGGCCGTTACAGGTCGTCCCTTGCCTGTAAAGTTCGACGTTTGTGGAGACCTACGCCCGGCAGAGGAGATTGGCGGTTTCCGAACTACACCCGACCTATCCATCCAACCACAGAGAAAACGTAAGAACAACGGTTCTTCGAGCGACTACTGGGCTCGCGGACTGGGCGTAATAGAGGTGAAGGCCACGGAGCAAGAGGATCCGTGGTACCAGAGGGTGTCGACAAGCGCGGGAGAACATGAATTCACCGAGGTGCAGTTGAAGACGTGGAATCAGATCCAGGAATATGCCGTCATGGCGTACCGAGCCGTCCCCCGCTGCTTCCTCCTCGGCATGGGTTTCTTTGGTGACGTCGTCCGTTTCTTCCGATGGGACAGATCGTCCGCCATTGTCTCTGATCCCGTATACTATAAACTCGACCCTGCTCCGTTGATCACATTCGTCGTCGGCCTCGCCAAGTTTGCCAATAGCGGGATCGACAGGACGGCGCATGCGAGTCTCGGTACCAAGGCTGAACTTGCGCTCGTTCACAGCTGCTACGACGAGGCGGTGCATCTTGGGATCCTGTTGGAGTATACGCCACGTCGCGACGGAGACACCTTAGATGGCGAGAGCACCCGCATCGTAGTGGAATCCCCACAGAATCCCGGCCTACATGAAAATTTCATTTCCATCGGACGACCGATGTTTTATAGCAGGTCCATCCGTGGACGTGGAACTCTAGTCTGGCTCGCGAAGAGAGCCGGCCGGAGCGATGACGGTTTTGTTGTTATCAAGGACACATGGCGAAATGAGAGTCGTTGGACGGAAGGGAAGATTTATAGGTCGATATACAAGGGGGCGGAGTCTGTTTTTGGCGTGGCCCGCTTCTACCACGACTTCGACGTCCCAGATCCGGTTTCGAAGGAAATGCCCTGCTGTACCGCTGCTGCAAGGCTGAACGAGGAAGGGAC